AGATCTGAAGGTCTCTGGCAGAAGGGGGTTGGACCAGGGCAAGCGCCAAGGCATGGTCCACTGGAAGAGCCTGCTGAAACCCCAAGCCGGATATGTGAAGTAGGCGAGGGCCATTTGCTGGCCACTTCCAGGCGATGGTGCATTTCTTCATTCCTCACAAAGGGTGACACCTCCCCAGCATGCACTCAGGAGGTGGGGCCAATGCGGCAGGCGCCGGTCCCTTGCTGTTTCCAGGCGGCCTTGTGGAGCTAAGACTGAATGCATTTCAGCATAGATGGCCACCACAAAATTGTACATTGGCTCCCGGACGACCTGGGCCAGGGCCAAGGCAGCGGGAGTCATTCCCTCACTATTTCCAGGATGGCTTCGCGGGCCATATAAACCACGTCACGGGCCGCATCCAGCCCCCGGGCCTTGTGTTTGACATGTCTGCTCTACATGATTGTTTCCCCTAGTCACACAAGTACTGCCATTTTTCATGAATATAATAATGCAATTTCAATTCAACAAAACTGTATTACATAATTATTACTTTAATAATAAATATTACTGAAGTATTAAGTAATATATTTAAACTAACTATATTCTTTGCCATATAAAAGTACACAGATCTGATGCTTTGGAAATTTAATTAAATTTAAATTAAAAACTTGCTTTTCAAAATATGCTTAAATTTCAACTTACGGTATCTTAATTTTAAATAAATGTAACCCAAAAGTGATTACATTTATATTGTAATTATATATAATATATAGAGAATTTAAACACATCTAAATATAAACTTATTTATACACAAGCTTGTTACATAAAAGAACCCAAGGAAATTCTCAAAAGCCAATACAGTGAAAATGCTCTGTGACAAAGTCCAATGCATCAGAAAAATTAGTAGTAGATGACATAAGCAAAATGATATGATTCAGCAAAGAATTATTTTAGAACTCTATCAAGAACTATCTTACATTCAAATGTAAATAAGTAGCACAAAAATTTTGTAGAGTAACATTACAGAGAAAAGTTTCCTATATCCAAAGGGCCTTATGAATCTGTCATTTATATAACCGATAATAGACTTCTCTAGAACCATAGAAAACTCTAGAAGAAGATAGAGCATATATAAGAGAGAAGTGAAATAATTCTCAATGGGAAAAGGGATCTATCACTGTGAGACAGGGCAGGTACTGCTGTCAAAGCAAGAATATTTAAAAAGCTACCTGTTCAACATCACAATCTTTTCTAAAGGTTTAAAGTATAATACAAAACAGGAGATGGATTGATTTGAAATACTAATTCCAACTATCCCAGTGAAAAATAAAGATTACCTATTACCATGTTTCCTCCAAAATAAGACCAGGTCTTATATTAATTTTTGATCCAAAAGACACATTAGGGCTTATTTTCCGGTTAGATCTTATTTTTGGGAAAACATGGTAAAAAAAAATAGCATCCTTAGTTATCTGTATCAAAACTATCAAACAACTTACTGAAATTACTACTGTTGGTGGTTTGTAAATCTAAAAAAGAACCGCAGACATTATCAACATCAAATTTCATATCCTGATTTCTTACCAATCCACAGATTCTACCCTCTCCAGCTCTAGCATGTAATATTAGGTTGAAAGGCCACCAAGGAAAAGCAAATACTGTATAAACATTCACTTTAAGCAATTAGTTCTGCACCATCTTTGTGTGTGGACATAAAGTGCAACATCAACAGTAAATTACTGCAGGTTCTGCTCATTAATTTGGTTCACTGGGCTAAGTATAACCCCCATCTGTCAGTATACAAGGGGTAAAAAAACAATAACCAGAGAGAGTTAGAAATCCCACTGAAATCATGTTTTTAACCAGTCAACTGAACAACCAAACCATGTATCAATAAAGGCTATTTTATAGCATGGATTTGGCTTTTCATAAAGTAAAATAAATGTTTGTATATCTATCAATCTCATAATTTTATTTTGTGAGAAATAAAACTTGTAATAATATATTAAGTATGATAATTTGAGCCTAAATAAAGATTCCAAGTGCACGAGCTATTCAAGAAACGCTTTTGGTAAATCCCAACAAAACCAAGGAACTCGTCATATTCTGAATTAAGCATTTTTTTAATTTTAAGAAGCTACATTATAACCATAAAGCAACCAAGATGACCCTAAAGGTTTATGATTTTTTGAGAACAAAATGCTCCTAGACCCAAATGTGTGCTTTCTTTGTTTTTGCACATTTACACAGTATAGGCTTTGCCGTAATGGTTTAATGTGGTTATTCTTTCAGAAGAGCAAAACAAATAAATAAATGCAACATATTCCTAGTAGAACAGTGGCTAATGGAATATATTTGAAAATGACTGTCTTGAGGCCAGTAATTATATTAAACTATATTGAACATGCAATGGTCTATTTAGGCCGCCAAACAGGCCAATTCTTTTCTCAGTGCCAGAAGCCAAAATAAAACACCAAAAAGCTGTCCCCTATCTAACATAAACATATCCAATGAAAGGGAATACAACACCTCTCTGATGTTACATTCCAATGTTACACTGTTCTTCATGTTAAGAAGTAATATGTATGTGTTATACAGGTTTTGTACTACACTGGGCTGTCACTATAAACGGGAGACAAAAACCCAGAATATACACTATGTAAAACCCGGCTGTAAAAGAGGAGTCAGTCATACCAAACATCCTCAGTAGGGAAATTACATAAGATCTGTATTTTCTGTTCTGTCAGCTTAAGAGAAGATGGTCTCTATATATCATTCTGCTAGATTACTGTTAAGATGTTCCCCCATACACATACATAAACACAAAAACACCCACACACACACCAACTTAAATCAATCTCAGGCCTGCACTCTGGAATAGAGAGAACTGTCTTGAACAAGGTGTTCAAGAAAACTGCACTGGCTAGTCAGTTTGGTGATTTACAGCAAACTTAACACAGATTTCAGATTTTACTCTCTGTTTCTTGTTCAGACCAAGCAATCCCAACATAAGTAATGCAGTCCTCAACAAAGGAGCATTGTATTGCCATATGACTTGAAATGCCACTCAGTATGATTGGCTAACATTATGTAAATAATGTGACTTGTAATCACTACACTACTTGAAGTATACATTAAAAAAGGCACATATACAAAGACATGCACATATAAGTTATGTGCAGGCTGAAGGCACTGCACTATTTGTTCAATTCTTTCTGAATAAGGAATATCTATATATTGAAAGCACTGTACTTCTTGTTTAGCTAGTTTTGAAACAGTGTGCTATGTGACGCCAGTCACTTTTATAAACCATGCATGAACTAGGCCACAAAGGTTTTTTAAAATGAACTATGTTCTAGCAGGAAGTGTGATCCTCCAAGTAGTGCAAGCACCAAAGTTACAGGCTGTGATAGTAAACACAGATTGCGTACTTTTGTTACAGGAAGAATGCAAGATGTCCAATGTATAGTCACTGATCCACTTCTTTCTCATGCTTAATCAACTTTGGTTGTTGTAAAACAGACCTAGACCAGTTTACTGGAATTTCCTGTCTGACCCTTAAAAAGGATACTATCTGTGTTCACTGATTTCTTTCTTATTTGAAGTATGTATGAAAGATTGTACTTAAAGAAAAATAACAGGTATGGGCTGGTCTTATGCTTCCCAATTGACCTAGTACCTCAGAGGGAGAATAAAGAGAATTCGCGTCCTCCAGCACAGCCAGTTCTAATAAGGAAAAGGATTTATCTGCATCCTGTTCTTGCTCTGGGAACAGAGATTCCAGAGAAAGCCAGAGGCTTTCCCCAGATCAGATATACTTCTTAGCAATGTATGCAATCACTTACCACTAGTTAAAAATAGTTCAAATGACCTTTCAGGATAAAATAGGTTTGACAGGCAATTTTGGGACTTTCTTTAGAATATTTCTGATCTCTTTCCTCCAACTCACCCTTACCATTGAAGTGAAATGCCCTGGTATTTTATTTCATTCTTAGATGAGACATCACAGCTTTTGTTTTGAGTCAGGCAAGCCAATGAATTCCTTTGCATAAACAACACATACTGTCATGAAGTTTTAACTATAAATATACCCTGCAACCAGCTTGAACCAACTCAACCCTGAAAGCAGGACAAAATCACCCCAAGCTGCCCTTTATCTCAGCCATAGTACAGAACAGGCAAAGCATAAGTAAACAAGGGGTGGTGGTGAGTCGCTAACATTCCTTCCACCTTATGCCCTTCATCTGGACTAGCATGCCTGCCTCATAAATTTCACTTCTCCTCTGAACTTTAGAACAAGTACCTTGCAACGGAATCCTTTCATAGCATAAGATTCTCAAGTAGTGCAGCAGACTAGAAAGTGCAATCAAAGGAATTTTTGCATGGGATCCTAAGCTAGCCAGCCTTTCCTGAGGTGGGATTTCCGATTTTCTTTTATATCAAGCCACATAAGAGCCCAGATTCAACAGGCGGAAATGTTAGCTGACAGGAGAAATTGCATCAGCTGAACATCTGCCTGCCACGCGGTATTACTGACACAAAACGAGATGCGGTGACATCCTGGATCTCGACATATGAGAAAGTTCAGAGACCCAGCAAGTGATTCGCACCTAGGTACTTATGCTTATTCCCTCCACGCTTTCCAGCCTTTTGGTGAGCAACGTCCGGCCTTTTCCTCCCCCTATCCCCCCCACCCACCCCCCGCTTCCCTGCCACGCAATCTGCATTTCCCAAGCGCTCCCTGCTCTCCCCGCCACCTCCCGTGCCTAAATAAACTGTCCTCACGTGCTCGTGGAAAGAAAAACACTTTCCCCGGAATGCTGCTTTTTTTTAATCCCTCCCCAACTCTCAGCGGAAAACTTTAAGTGGAGGGGAGGAAAACTTCGCTTCGCCGCTGCAAGTGCCCGGCAGTTCTAGGCAAGGCGCCCGCAGAGAGGAATCTGTGCGCGCGTGTGTGTGTGTGTGTGCAGGGAGGGGGAAAAAAAGGAATGAGGGGGCGGAGAAATGCTTCCACTCACTCGAGCCGTCTGAAGCGCTGGCGGGTGAAGACAAGCGGACTTGTGGAAAGCGGACGCGCGGAGTTGCTGGTGCTTCGAGAGGGGAGCCCGTCCCGCGCTTGCTGTTCACTCGGCAGCGAGCCGGCAAAAGAAAGAACTCAGGGATCGTAATTCCCGACGCGTGCCCCGAGCCCCGCCCCCACATTCCACTCGACCCGCCCCCTCCCCAGGCCCCTTGCCTTCCCACGCCCGGAGAGCTGATGAATGCCCGCCCAGTCTTTCTAGCCAATGGCGCGGCGAGGCGAGGCGGTGGTTGGCAGGTCCTCGCGCGCTGTCGGAGTTGCTTGCCTGCAGGAGTTGGGCGATCTCCCAAGATCTGTTGGAAAGAGGGCTGGAATTGTTTGACTCATGGAGAGGAGTACCCTACAAAAATTGCGAGTTTCAATATCGTGGCCCTTCCTGTTCATTGGCAAGCTTCGAACTCCTTCCCCAATTAATAGCCTGTTTATTCATGGAAAATAATGATTCATTGAAACTGTAGTACAGTACTAAAGATACCTCGGGCTGTGAACGCATCTAGACGTATATTGTGTTGGCGTGATGACAATATGCTTGCATTCCCGAGTTCTGTTCGAACGCATATTTAATTTAATTTAAGTGGCATCGGGTTGTTTTTTTCCGTCCGGGAAATAAATGCCGGTGTTATTGGAGGAATAGGTTTTGCCATGTCAGTCAGTACAAGTAAATGATCGAAGGATCAAGATTTTAAGATCTTCCCTTTTTTATTGCAAAACGTGTTTTAAAACAAGAACAACTCCTGAAAAGTACAGTTCCTGTCAAATGTATAATTAGATTTTTTCCCCCAGCAGAATTCTATTTTACAAAACAACTATTCTCCGAACACTTTTGTTAATTAAGGTACTAGTTGCTGTTAGTTTATTTACAAGACTTACAGATATCTCTACTCAGCAGATTTTGAGTGGCATACAGTTCCCTAACTACATAAACGTTTAATTCAAATTTTGGTCAACTCCAGATGCATGGAGTTCATCTCCCAGATACTAGGGAATTCTGGGAATTGAAGTCCATTCATTTGGAAGTTACCAAGGCTGGGAAATAATAGTTTAATGCTCTGAATTTCCAATACAATAAGTGATCATTCGGGGGGGGGGGGGAAATAGCCGGAAATGTTTCCTTCCTTTGGGGGATTTTTAGCCATCTTACCATGAAGTTGAAAACTTGTACACTATTTTGGAAATCTTAAATTGGTTTAATACAAATACTGTGATAGTAGGAAAACATACTTGCATATTTATTGGTGAACTGTCACTTCAGTTCTCCAGCTCTTCCATTTGCTTCCAATCTCATTGAATTCTGTGTCCAAAGGATTAAAACAGCATGCCATCTGATTTATGCAATGGGAAAGAGACACTTTGTCTGACTACCTTCACTACTACAAAATATTTTGAAACAGCATTCCATTCTTTCTGTTACGGAACATTATCCAAATTTCTTTCCAGCATGCTATCCTGAGAACCAGAACTGGCACTTCTAAATGATAGTTCAGAAATAATTCATGCTGAAGCATGCAAAAACTCCACTTAGTCATTAAACCCATTTAGAAAGTTTATTTTCTTCTTATCCATTAGGCTACCACATTTGGAGTGCAGAAATCCAGATGACAGTTTTCCCATCTTTATTGCCAACAAATGGTCAAGCCCAGATTGTGTAGCCTTACTTAAATTCATGAGTATCACCTTGTGTTTAAAGGTACCGAACCAGCAATAATGGAAGTTATGTTGCTATTACAGTGCAGAATAGAATAGCCCATTGAATGAGATGGCCTATAAATACACAATGGAACTATCAGCCAAACAGCAGTTTACAACACAATCCTATAAATATCGTCTGAGAAATACGCCCCATTTAGATCAGTTATAAGTGAATATTAGATTTCAGCCTTAGTGTGTTAAAAATGGTTTACAGCCTGGGTTTGTCCATTCATACCAAGTCATGATTTAATTGTGATCTACTGAATAAACCGGCAGGGTTCAGTAAGCATGCCAAGCCCTGACCCAAACTTTATGTGTCTGCATACACATAATAAAAACCAGTTAACCTATATTAAAGCTTAGGTGCAATACGTGTACTTATTGATAACCTTTTTAAAATAAAGTCTTTTCTTTAGCTTTTATCCTGGTTATGGCGGCAGTGGCCGCTCCTTCTCGTCTTCCTCCTTCTCCTTCTTCTAGTATAAAACTGGCTTGCTGTTGATATTTTTCTGGATGTTTTCTCAGCTTCTCAGACTAAACCCAGATATTCCCTTGAATGGGAATTTACCTCCCATTCAAGTATTAACGCTGTGTCTTTTTACCCCTTTTCAATATACAGTCCAGTAGCTCCTCGGCTAGGCAGGCCTAGATTGTAAAACTAGAAACCAGCTTTATACTAAGAAATGAACTAAATAACAAATCAGGCCTTTTAAGAGTTTTTGGTACTTCCACTCACATTATGCAGCTGATGCTTATCTGTACACATCTCTAGAACTAATCTGTACAAATTATCTATGAGTTGAAGGAGCTGGGAGGAACCAACATAACACAAGAGGTCTTTTAAAAAAATTCTGCTTTGCAAATGAAATATACTTCTACTTCCTTCTTCTGCCCTTGAGGGGATTTTGATTCTGAATTGATTGTGTCTGAAAAAGGAAAATAATGTCAATATATCTTTTTTAGAGAAAAAGGCATTGCCCTTTGGGGTATGCAACACATTTATTTGGCAGGACAACATGTGCTATTTTTTACAGGGCTGTTTGAAAAATAAGCTGTTAGATAAATATAAGATTATTTCCAGGCACACTATGTGCTTTAGCCTTTTTGGAATATCACTGAGGGGAAAAATTAACAAGAATCATTTTTTAAAGGTAATTTTATATCTGGCTGTAATTGAACATCTACCTGGTCAGAACAGATTAGAGCACACAGGTTTCAAACTACAGGCAGTGAAAAGGAAACGCAGATGCCCTCAGGCTGCTTTTTTGCACAATTAAGGAACAAAATTGAGTTCAATTTTTCTGGTTATTTCCATTTTGTAAATCTTACAAGATTGTGGAAGTAATTATTAGAAGTTTAAAAATAGATACAGTTGCCATTTATAATTCAATCTTTTTACGGTTGGAAAATATAAAAATTGCAAATGGGTTGGGTTTTTTTTCTCTTTATTATATATAAAAAAAGCGAGTGGACAAAATATTTTTTTTCCTCAGTGAAATGTAAGGTAAGTAGCAAATTTGGCAGGTAAGAATTTCAAATGTGTAAAAAGGAAGCTTATAAGAAAAAAGTATACAAATCGTCCTATTATCTTTTCTCCAGAGACAAATCAGACTTGTGAATAGTTTATTGAACAATTACATATTTGTAATACACTTTGGGGAAATATTTGGTTAGCTATACACTCATCATTTCTGAGATAACAATCTATTCTCTTGATTCAAATTAGAGATGACAAAATTAAATTATTATTCAATAAGGTATCAATCTTGCTGACTCCCTTTGAACTTTTTGTTCAAGAATGAATCAAGTTAGGCCAGTAATCAAGCAACTGGGAAGTTAAAAATGCTCTATAACCAATATTTTTAATCTTGCCATTTCTGATGTCAAATGCTTGTCTTGTTATTCTGTGGTACACATTTGTCTGTTCTTTGTGGACAGACAAATGTGTACTGTGGGCTGACAGACACATATATAACATTGTAAGATGAGCAGGTGAATGACCCTCTGATGCGGTGGCTGACATTCTGAGTTTCTCAAACAGGACTTCCTAAAACTTAAGCCTATTTCTAGCTGTTGTGTTGCAAAAGTGGAGCTACTTAGTGGTTAATTTACACACACCCACACACACCCACATGCATAAAATGAAAATGTGAATTTGTCCTAAGAAAAACAGAAGGGAGCAAGAGGTTAAAAACAACAGGACTTATTTTTAAAACTTATATTCCAACTACTTTCTACCTAAGAAGAAAATAGATGACAAACCAGAGATAATTAGTTAAATTAAAAAAAATGTACCCAGACAATAATAATTGTCAGGTACACCTGATAAAATACTGCAAATAATACCATTCTGCAGATATAGTGCCACTTTCCTGTTGACTAGTAAGATTTCTATCATGCTCTATTCCAGTGATGGCGAACCTTTTAGAGACCGAGTGCCCAAATTGCAAACCAAAACCCACTTATGTATCATCGGGTGCCGGGTGGGTGTGGCCCATTGGGTGGGCATGGCTGCGGTAGTAACAACAGACTGGGTGGGACTAAAAAGTTCAATCAATTCCAACTTTGCGAGATCTTTTTTTTCCCCACGAGAAGTTGAAATTGATTGATTGAAACTTTTTTTTTTTTTTGCACACGGCGGTGGAGGCCTAAAGCAAAATGGTTTTATAAAACCCAGCTGAAGGCCTAGGACTGGAGCAACGGTGTGCATGCCCACAGAGAGAGCTCTGCGTGCCACCTGTGGCACATGTGCCATAGGTTCGCCACCACAGCTCTATTCCATATTTTTTTTAAAAATAAAATAAAATGCCCATGGGGGAAAAATAAGTTAACTTTAAAAAAACACTCATCCTAATCTTTTTTGTCATAGAAGTTGGCAAGCTGAAAAGCACATCAAAGGGAGAAAAATGTGTTATGTCATAAAATCTGGTTAAGAGTACATGGGAAAACCCTTCCTAAAAAGTCAAGATATAAATAGCAAATCCCTAGTGCTACAGAACGTGCTTGTCTTATTTTAACTCATAGTCAATTCCCAGTTTGGATTTGCCCTCTTTCCCTTGGAATACTTCTGGAAAAAGAATTTTAGAGGAGTTACACAGATGTTAGATCTCTGCTTGCTTATGCTGACCAACAACAAATTCATTTAGATAGAACAGAACAGTGGTTTTTTTAAATTTGTTTTTGGTTGTTATTGCTAACTATAAGCATTTATAAAATGTTTAAAATGGTGTTATCCACTACATAGGGAATTATGGGTAAGGTTGTTTTTCTCTTATGATGTTCATCCTGAGGACTTGAGAGTGCAGGTTCTTGGCCCTGAATAAATACTATAATCTTCATAA